CCTGTGGAAGTGATGGACATGAGAGAACAGAGGGGGGCCACTCAAGCGAAGCCAAAATTGCTAAGCTTGTTCGACCCCACATTTGGAGCCGCGTGTGCTGCAGTTGGTCCGCACCGAAAGTGGACGTCGGCGGTACTGGTGGCCGAACACGTTCCAGACACAGCAGCCAGAACACTTCCACCTTTGAGCTGCAGGCGGACTCATGGGACAAACAGGATCTGGTCCAAACAGGTCAATGTCGATGCTTTCTCAGGCACAGGTACCTTCTGGGAGAACTCTCAACTCGAACCTTTCACAGGCGAGGCCGTGGCGTTTTACAGCTTTCAGAAGTCCACTAACAAGAAAAACAGAGTGCGCAGCACTCGATCTTTTTCTTGAGCTAAAAACATTCGAAGCAAAACGAAACGAGACAAAACGAGTGCGGTCACTAACCTGATTCAGCAGTTCTTCCATTTGAGGCAGACCGAAAAACCTGTGTTGCGGGGGCGGCAGCGGCACGGGTCTGTGTTGCGCAGAGATGTGGATTTGCTGAGCAACAAAGTCGGTTGGCGCGCCTGCTGCGAGCGATCTTTTTTTTGTCGGTTTGTGACAGCGGATGCAACCATCCTGCGCAAAGACACACGCAACCATGAAGCAAAAAAGACCCGATTTGACGATGGAACTGACTCAGAGAGCAAAAAGAAATTGAAGCAGAGGTGCAATCTCCGAGAACAGCGAAAAGTGCAGTTCGGTCTTTTGAGGGAACGCAACCACTGGTTTAGCAACAGCAAATGCAATCAGAAGCAAGGCAGAGGCAAAGAATGTTGCAAATGGCTTTCTGCTAAAAGAGCAAAAAAAATCTGGCGAGAGCCAGGTGAGCCCATGTCGTGCATGAGGGGTTTTGGAGTTAAGCACCGTGCACAAATTCCGAACCGTCAGCCACACCTCTCGATACCATCACTCTACACAGCTCAAGAAGTCCTGTTCAGATCTGGTGGAGATACCTTCCAGAAAATTCCGCCGCTCTTGTATGATCTGTTCCGGCCCACCTTCTCGATACCATAACTCTGCATGGCTTGATCTGCTCTGTTCAGAAATGCTAGAGTCACCTCTGGCAAAAATTCTCTGTCTTTGTACGATCTCAAAGCTGCACAGTTAAGGGGCTGTCGGGCGACCCCATTTTAAGGCCCGCAAAACACAAGCAATTCTGGCTTCGCGAGGTCGGCCCTCCACAGTTGCATTCCGCTGGCTGCAGCACGACGCTCCCCAAAGTCAATACAATCAATGACATGCGCAGCTGACGAGATTCAGCCTCTGTGGGTGCAGGAATCAAACTTGCGACCCCAAAAATGGGGCCGTCTCGCGGCCCCAGAAAAGGAGCCGCGAAATCCAGTCAACCTCCTTCAACATATTTTGACTGGCAACCAGAGGACCCCACAATCGGGGCCGCTTGGCGGCCCCTATTTTGGGGTCGCGAATTCCTCATTTTGGTGCCCAAGCCCAAGCCCGTGCGTTCCACACTGCTACATCAAGGCGACTCGCCCACAGGCAGGCATCCAGTGTGGAAAAATCGTTCTCCAACAAGAATTTCCAACAGACAGCTTGCCCGTGGAAGTGACAGACATGAGAGAACAGAGGGGGGCCACTCAAGCGAAGCCAAAATTGCTAAGCTTGTTCGACCTCACATTTGGAGCCGCGTGTGCTGCAGTTGGTTCGCACCGAAAGTGGACGTCGGCGGCACTGGTGGCCGAACACGTCCCAGACACAGCAGCCAGAACACTTCCACCTTTGAGTTGCAGGCGGACTCTTGCGACCAAACAGGATCTGGTCCAAACAGGTCATGCTTTCTCAGGCACAGGTACCTTCTGGGAGAACTCTCAACTCGAACCTTGCACAGGCGAGGCCGTGGCGCTTTACAGCTCTCAGAAGTCCACTAACAAGAAAAACAGAGTGCGCAGCACTCGATCTTTTTCTTGAACTAAAAACATTCGAAGCAAAACGAAACGAGACAAAACGAGTGCGGTCACTAACCTGATTCAAAAGCAGAGGCAAATCGAAAAACCTGTGTTGCGGGAGCAGCAGCGACACGGGTCTGTGTTGCGCAGACATGTCGATTTGCTGAGCAACAAAGTCGGTTGGAGCGCCGGCTGCGAGCGATCTTTTTTTTGTCGGTTTGTGACAGCGGATGCAACCATCCTGAGCAAAGACACACGCAACCATAAGCAAAAAAGACCCGATTTGACGATGGAACTGACTCAGAGAGCAAAAAGAAATTGAAGCAGAGGTGCAATCTCCGAGAACAGCGAAAAGTGCAGTTCGGTCTTTTGAGGGAACGCAACCACTGGTCTAGCAACAGCAAATGCAATCAGAAGCAAGGCAGAGGCAAAGAATGTTGCAAATTGGTCTCTGCTAAAAGAGCAAAAAAAATCTGGCGAGAGCCAGGTGAGCCCATGTCGTGCATGAGGGGTTTTGGAGTTAAGCACCGTGCACAAATTCCGAACCGTCAGCCACACCTCTCGATACCATAACTCTACACAGCTCAAGAAGTCCTGTTCAGATCTGGTGGAGATACCTTCCAGAAAATTCCGCCGCTCTTGTATGATCTGTTCCGGCCCACCTTCTCGATACCATAACTCTGCATGGCTTGATCTGCTCTGTTCAGAAATGCTAGAGTCACCTCTGGCAAAAATTCTCTGTCTTTGTACGATCTCAAAGCTGCACAGTTATGGGGCTGTCGGGCGACCCCATTTTAAGGCCCGCAAAACACAAGCAATTCTGGCTTCGCGAGGTCGGCCCTCCACAGTTGCATTCCGCTGGCTGCAGCACGACGCTCCCCAAAGTCAATACAATCAATGACATGCGCAGCTGACGAGATTCAGCCGCTGTGGGTGCAGGAATCAAACTTGCGACCCCAAAAATGGGGCCGTCTCGCGGCCCCAGAAAAGGAGCCGCGAAATCCAGTCAACCTCCTTCAACATATTTTGACTGGCAACCAGAGGACCCCAAAATCGGGGCCGCTTGGCGGCCCCTATTTTGGGGTCGCGAATTCCTCATTTTGGGGCCCAAGCCCAAGCCCGTGCGTTCCACACTGCTACATCAAGGCGACTCGCCCACAGGCAGGCATCCAGTGTGGAAAAATCGTTCTCCAACAAGAATTTCCAACAGACAGCTTGCCCGTGGAAGTGACATGAGAGAACAGAGGGGGCCACTCAAGCGAAGCCAAAATTGCTAAGCTTGTTCGACCCCACATTTGGAGCCGCGTGTGCTGCAGTTGGTTCGCACCGAAAGTGGACGTCGGCGGCACTGGTGGCCGAACACGTGCCAGACACAGCAGCTAGAACACTTCCACCTTTAAGTTGCAGGCGGACTCATGGGACCAAACAGGATCTGGTCGATGCTTTCTCAGGCACAGGTACCTTCTGGGAGAACTCTCAACTCGAACCTTTCACAGGCGAGGCCGTGGCGTTTTACAGCTTTCAGAAGTCCACTAACAAGAAAAACAGAGTGCGCAGCACTCGATCTTTTTCTTGAGCTACTCTGGACAGAGTAAAAACATTCGAAGCAAAACGAAACGAGACAAAACGAGTGCGGTCACTAACCTGATTCAAAAGCAGAGACAAATCGAAAAACCTGTGTTGCGGGAGCAGCAGCGGCACGGGTCTGTGTTGCGCAGACATGTCGATTTGCTGAGCAACAAAGTCGGTTGGAGCGCCGGCTGCGAGCGATCTTTTTTTTGTCGGTTTGTGACAGCGGATGCAACCATCCTGAGCAAAGACACACGCAACCATGAAGCAAAAAAGACCCGATTTGACGATGGAACTGACTCAGAGAGCAAAAAGAAATTGAAGCAGAGGTGCAATCTCCGAGAACAGCGAAAAGTGCAGTTTGGTTTTTTGAGGGAACGCAACCACTGGTCTAGCAACAGCAAATGCAATCAGAAGCAAGGCAGAGGCAAAGAATGTTAAATGGGTCTCTGCTAAAAGAGCAAAAAAAATCTGGCGTTATAGATCCGGTCATCCATGACAATCACATATTTGAATCAAGTATAAGAGTCTTGATCAAATATCGCAGATTCCATCATATAAAGAATTGTTGACCAAATATATTGGTCCGGTCCAAATATATACAAAAGGATATGAAATTGATGCAAAGACGCTCACACTTCTTTTCACGGCACAGCCGAGAGTCGTGGGGAGTTTTCAAGGAAAACGAAGGTGCACAGGGCGTGCACCGGGCACTAAGAGTGCCCCTCCACTTAAGCAGAGGCACTCGAGCGCCCCCCAGAGTCCAGTCGCACGATGGAGTGCAACGTGACCTCAATCTTCCCCCATCTTCCCCGGGCGGGTGGGCGGGATCAAAAATTCTCTGGCTCGATGACGAGACAGCTTCAGCGGCCACAATTCCGAACATGAACAAAAGGATGTTTGCCGACAAAGTCAAAAATTCGTCGGTTGCTCAGAGAGTGGGTTCGCAAATCACAATATAAAATTGTGAAAACTTGAACTGCAAAGCACTACTACGAGTAGCGCAGAGGATCACAATTGAAAGTTGTGAAAGCTGAAATGAAAAGCACTACTAAGAGTAGCGCGCGGGATTGTCATGGCCCAAAATTTTGTTGCTAACAAAATTTCGTTTGACCTAGGATCTATAAAACATCGACACGCACGCGTGAAGAGATGCTTATAGATCCGGTCATCCATGACAATCACATATTTGAATCAAGTATAAGAGTCTTGATCAAATATCGCAGATTCCATCATATAAAGAATTGTTGACCAAATATATTGGTCCGGTCCAAATATATACAAAAGGATATGAAATTGATGCAAAGACGCTCACACTTCTTTTCACGGCACAGCCGAGAGTCGTGGGGAGTTTTCAAGGAAAACGAAGGTGCACAGGGCGTGCACCGGGCACTAAGAGTGCCCCTCCACTTAAGCAGAGGCACTCGAGTGCCCACCAGAGTCCAGTCGCACGATGGAGTGCAACGTGACCTCAATCTTCCCCCTCTCGACTATGCGTTACGTTGCTTCAAGAGTGGCACCTGCGACAAAGCAAGTCGGCACGTCACGAGTAACATGACCAAGGAATGCCAGCTCCTCCCATCTGCCTCGGGACGGCGGGCCCGCGATGTTGCTCTGGCTCGGTACACGATGAAACCACGGCAGGCACGGGCGTGCTTCATCGGCGGCCTCCAAGTGAAGGAGGAGACTCCTCCAAGATGCATCGATCGAGTTCGAGTTGATGCAAGCACTCAAGACGCCGGAATGGTCGACGAAAAATATGCATCGCTCGCCATCAATGTAACTCGACCACAGGATCCTGGCGAGCACGACCGCGTAAAGCTCGACCTGCCCTATAATGTGTTTCCTACCCTCGGCCCATTGCTTGACGAGCTTGCTAGGAACCCTGCAACCGAAAGCCCTAGCAACACCCTCGCCGGGGACAAAGAGAACCCCACCGACACCAGTACTGAAGCCGCCCTCGCAAGGGTCGCATGCGCCATCTGTGAAGATGAGGACTGGGTTCGAGGCAGGGCTCGTCACAATGGCACGCGGCCTGCTCGCAAGAAGTCTTGCCCTCAGAACAGCCAAGGCATTCGATTGAGTATCCGTCAGGTTCAAGACACCCCCTCTGTCACCGAAGAGCCTGAGGTCGGCCAGGGCCAATCGCCCTGTGCGACCAAGCAGCTGAGCATCTGCGAAGCGAAGCTTTCCAAGAAGGGATGGCAGCTCCCGCGTGTCTACCTGGCCCTTTTCAAGGATGCGGCCCAAGGACTGTTCAAGCATGGCAGCTCGTTCAGGCTTGTTCGATACGAAGATGCGGCCCATGTCAGGATCGGAGGTATCCAGCACGACACCCAGCGTTTCTGCAGTGCACGAGAACGGCTTTTCTTTCTCGGACAAGGAGAAGCCAAACAGGTCCATGAGGGCATGAACTGCATTGTCAGTCCCGCCAGACAAGAACGAAGGGGTCATCGTCGGGAAATCGTCATAGTAGCAAGTTACGGCCACCCTCAAATCCCAAAGAACCCTCTGCAGGAATAATGCAACCCTGTTAAACTGCATGACCGAGGCTGAAGCTCCGAAAGGAAGAGTGTTACACACAAAGGCCTTGACGGCGCGGGAGCCCGGCTCCCTGAGCAGGATAATGGATTTCGGCCTCTCGCTAGGGTGCAGTGCGAGCTGCTTGTAGGCAGCTTGAAGATCGTAAGTTTTGCAGTGAGGGCGGACACGGTCAGGGTCCTTCCAAGCCGTATGGAGGGGTCCCTTGAGTCTCTCACCGGTGCTGAGCTCAAGATCGAGGGATCCTGAAGATTTTGCCGCACGGCAAACCTGCATGCACAGCCAGCAGATCTCATCGAGGGCCTTGAGAGTAACACGTTCAAAGCATCCGAAACAAGAGTTCACAGCGGCTTCCGAGAAGTCATCGATCGCACGCCACTTGCCCTGCCAGACTGCAAAACGCCGGCAGGCGTTCCAACCGTCAGGGAAGTTGTCCCCCAAAGAGTCAACGTCGATCGGGCCGTCAAGCCAGCACTTCCCCGATCTGTTAGACTCCTCAAGCGTCATGTTCCAGAGCTCTTCGGCATAGTCATGGTCCTTCTGGGCTCTGACTTTTTCAAGCAGGGTTTCCCTCCGGAGGGGAGCACTTGCCCAGAAATCGTCAAGGTCCATCGTGGCAGGTTTAACATCGCTAGCGAATACCCCCGTACGCCCCAAGTACCCCGTTAGCTTAAAGCCGGCAGCCAGGTCATCGAAGAGGGTCGTGTCAGGCCACGACAAGTCGGCGGCGATCCTCTTCATGAGTGCGATGCGCTTACAACCAAGGACCTTCCGCACACAAGGGTCCATCGCCGATCTGATTTTCTCTTCGTCGGGATCAAGCTGCTTGGCGAGGGCTCGCCACTGTTGTAGCTTCAAAAGGCGGTGCTTCATGGTGTCAACTGGGCTCTTCGTAAGAGTGTCAAACAAGACTCGCAAAAGTTCATCTGGAAGTGATTTGGCAGAATCGAAGGGGTGCACAACCAACTTTGCCTCGTTCAAGAAAGCTTGCATGGATCGATAGACGCCGAAAGTGTAGAACTTGTTCCCCTCTGGGAGTCGCGAACCTCCCCTTTCAACTGACTCCCGGAGGAGCTTGGCGCCTGCAGGGACGCCTTGCCAAGAAGCCGAAAGGCAGTGCTTGGAGTTGAGAGTGGGAGCTGCAGCACTGGCGACTGACATAGTGTAAGCAAATTCAGAAATGATTGGCGGAAACTTGCGGCCACGAGGTTGCACCTGACCTGCGGCACGCGCAGCAGAAACCCTGGAGGCAACGAGGCGTTCAGGCGCAATCCCTCGTGATGCAGCTGACTTATCCACGCATGAGACAATCCTTTCGCAAAGAAGTTTGGGATAGCCCGTCTCCTCAGCTGTTGCAAAAGAATTGCCCTGCTTACCCCACGGCAAGTGCGAGGAGCATCCCGGGCATGGTCCCGAAAGGCAGTGTAGAAGCTCCGAGTTTGTGAGGAGGGCTGTGGCCTTCTTGCGTTGTGACCCGTGGCGGCACGAGTCGAATGTGACGAAGGAGTGCTTGGCGACCAGCTCGGCCCACCTCGGGAGCTGCCACAGGTAACTGTGAAGAGGGTTTTCAACGGAGAAGGGAACATGCGGCATGGCATGCAGCAGCCAGTCACAGAAGGCTGCCATGCTATCATAAATGGTGTTTGCACTGTCCACTCTCGCCTGCTCCACTGGTGGGAGGCCGGGCAGGCCGCGCACATGACGGACTGAACGCAATGGCTTAGGGCCGGGACCGCACTCTCGAGCCCGGCTAGCGGTGCCGCATGGAGGAGCCATGTGCACCCAAGCAACATCGTACTCGGAGCAAATGCGTCGCAAGAAAGACCAAGTGCTGGCCAGGCGCAAGTCGAGCTGTAAAGTGTGCACACACGCCCGCTGTTTGTTGTGATGCCAGTCGATGGGCACGGCTGTGTATCCGGCCTCTTTGGCAACATAAGACAGCATAGCAGACCCACTACAGATTTCCAGAAACAGCGGTTTCTCATGCCTGGGAGTCCGCTCGGCTTGAGCTTGCGATTTCAAGCGTTTACAAGGAGGGTCGGCGGGTGAGGCGGGACTAGAACCCAAAGGAGCGGGGGCAGTAGGGCTAGACCCAGAAGGTGCACTCTCAAATGGCAAAACAGGCTGAAGAGGCGGAGGGAGCTGTTGCGCCGCGGCAGCAGGAGCACACGGAAAACCCAATGGGAGCAACGTGGCGGGTTGCCCACCTGAAAGAGTGTAAAGTGTTACGACCCACCTCTCACCTGTGAAGGGCATCGTCTTATGCCACAAGTTGCACGGAAAACTAGTGGGGCAACAAAACGTGTCTACGATTTTACCCCTGATGTGCTTATCGCCTGCGACAGTGGCTTGAGAAGTGCCCGACGCATCTTCGAGCCAAAGTTGGCCCCCAGTGAAGGTGCCAAGCGTGAAAGTGTGGTTCAGCGAACCCGCTTGGTTCCCTGAGTCCCTGTGGAAATCTGACAAAGTATCCCTGCCCACGCAGATTGCATTCCAGGAAGCTTGAGGCAGAAGCTCCTTGACAGTTGAGTTCAGGCGCAATACGAAGTCCTGCATGGCAAGGGTGGCATGTGTCAAATGTTGCGGACTGCTGGCCCTGGGCCCAAAGTTGTATTATTCTCTGCGTCTTGTTTATAAATGAGATATATGAAAAATCAATCACAAATATATTTGCGAATTGATAATCAAATGCGGCAGGCAACACTCGGACACAGTCTTCGTTTTAACTCGCAGTGGGAGCTGACAGATCGGTACCTTGCGAGGCCCCCCCTTGAAGAGAACCGCAAAGATCGGTCAGCAAGGATTGCACATTGAAGCGCCGCCTGGAAAAGGCGGGAAAACTGTGGTCGCCCCGCGAAGGGGCATCTGCAGGATTGCTTTCACTGCGAACACGCTCGAACCAGATCGCAAGATCACGCTCTTCTTCAGCCTGAAAGAGGCGGGAGAGAAGAGACTGCACGAAAGGGCAATCGGATTGTCCTCGGATGAGAGCCGCCAGTGAAGCTTCGTTGTCAACGAAGAGCACAATGTCACAGTGGCGCAGGTTAGGGATTAGGGTGGCACCCAAGACCGCGGCAAGGGTTTCTAGCTCGTAGATCAAGGTAAGTTTACCATCAGGGTTGATGATCTCAAGGTCCTTGGAGGTGACTACTTCACTAAACCAGGCAAGGCACAGACCCTTAAAGTCGTAAACCAAACCACCAAGGCCACCCCCCTGATCGTCGTAGGAAGCGTCAGTGTACACGTGATACACTTGTCGAAGACTCGAGTCTACACACCTTGGTTTGCCAAGAACTACACGGTCCCTCAAGAAAGTCAAGGAGGCCCTTAAGCTAGCACCAACCACAAGTCTGCCGTGCTTTTGACAGAAGTGCGAAAGGTTGCGCATGTGAAGCGAAGCTGATCGTCCAAAGATTTGACTCTCGGCGAACAGGAGTCGCCCTCGTAGAGAGAGAAGCTCATTTTGGCCAACAAAGCCTCGGGTCAGGACCTCATCGATGGATGAGCAGAGTTCGCGTTTGCGGGCCTCGGTGTTCTGGACTGAGATCAATCCATTCTTAGAATCAGCCAAGGATATTTGCACTCCTAAGACTTTGGCTACTGCATCAAAACCACTGTCTTTTTCGGAGGACGTTTCCCAGGCAACGATCCTGAAAAATGTTGACTGGACTAAGTCAAGATGTTTTTGCTCGTCGGACGAGCAGGGTAAGACGAAATCGTCAAAATACAGAGACCATGGCAGGATCAGGCTCCGGACTCCGATCCACCAAAGGCCGAAGGCAGTTCTGTAGAATCCCTGAACGGCCGGCTTGCTGCCGAAGGGCAGCACAACTGTCTGGTATATTTCAATTTCCATGCTGTGAGGGTTAAGCACAGCTATGAAAGAATCATACAAAGCTTCAGTGCTTAAAGGAAGTTGCTTATAGGCCTTTCTAAGGTCTATCGTCCTAAGAACAAGTTGCTCGCGCTTGCCAAGTTTCCGGGCCGACCTGATGCGAAGGCACAATGCTGCGACCACAACGTCCACCCCGTGAGGGCAGATCGTCTCGCTAGCACTGTTTGTGAGATTAGCAAGAGATTCCGTGTAATCATCGATTGGTCTCACCTTCTTGATTGACCCTAGCTTGGCATCGGTGGAGGATTGCACTATCCCAAACCTTCTAGTGACTATGGCATCCGGGGGGATGTCCGATTCCTTAAAAGGTCCTTTAAGCCACCCTTTCGCAAGCTCATCTTTCGTAAGCTGGTAAACACTTTCAGCCACCTCGCGGTCGAAACCTTCTCTGGTAGAGGCAAGGATGGCCTTCCTGGCAAGGGGAGTGGCTGCACGAACATCCTCAACGGTAAGCGAGGCAGCGGAAACCTTAGAGGGAAGGACTCCAGATGCGGGTATGGGGCCTAGAAGGTTAAACCCAGTTGAGATGTCCTTGGTCAAGGTTGTGTCCGGGTACTCGGCCTCAGTCAGGAGCGATTTGAAGACCTTCATAGATTTCTTACCAAGAACTGCGGCACAGTGGTCGGGCATGTCGGAGGGATCTGCACGGGATGCCGCCTCCTCGGAGGTAAGCATCCACCTCCTCAACGTAGCAGTGCGTTCCCTGGCAAGGTCGGCAGGTGACTCCTGGGCGCATCGCACAATGGTCTCTTTTAAAATCTTTGGCACACCATTTTCGATACGCCTGGGGTGTAGAGCTCCGCGAGCCTGTTTGACGAACTCTTCTGGGGTCCACGCGATACCATAAGTTCGCTCCTCATGCGGGGCTGCGCCAAGAGAGTGGCCATCGCCAGGCTTCGAACAGGCATCAAGCAGGGCGCCAGGTTTTAAGGAGTCGTCCACAGGGGAGGAAGGGGCTAAACCCGAACTATCAGAAGGGGCTAAACCCGAATTATCAGAACCAAGTTGTCGAGTAGCACTGCAGGGACCCCCAGCAGACGGCACAGTGCGAATCAGCTTGGCGGTCTTGGGTAGCCGCTTTAAGGAGGGCTTGCACAAGACTTTATCAGGAATGGCCCAATCTTCCGAGAGTTGCTTCGGGGGCATAGCACAAGAAGGGCCAGTGACCGTGATGATGGACTTGTACTCAGAGACCAAAGGCGGAACACGTTTGCCTTTGGGTTGCTTTCCGGAGGCAACCTGAGCGGCTCGTGCCAACGGGAGCCCAAGCTCCTGAAGTTCTGCTGCTGGAAACCGAGCACCCTGGTGTTGCAATTCAACAGCAAAGGCCCTTGCTACCATGGCACAAAGCTGACCAGGGGACGAAGACAAAGGCAACGCCGGATTTGGTGGTTTGCATCCCCCTCCACACGGAAAGCTAAGGCTTGACAGTGCAGGGAAGTTGTGAAGCAGGCGCCTAGGCTGACACAGCCCGTCGTGCACGAAGCAAGGACTGTAGTGGGTGGAGATTTGCGGACAGGCACCCCGGAGGTCACGAAGTTTCCAAAGGTTGGAGCTGCACGGGGCGTCAAGGCAGCAAAGAAGACCATTGGCGCAACACTCCGTGTAAATGCTTACTGCAAGGTCACTGAAGTTGGAAGGAGGGGACATGTGCACAGCAACAACATTATCCTTCGAAAGGATGTCTCGCAAAAGCGAAATGCCGCTGTCAGTGGAAAGATCCAACGGAACAACAGGAGCCCGAGTGTTTCGGGGATGACGATTGATTGCAAAGCCTTGCATGCCGAGGCTGCGCACAGCCGCACACACACCACCATGCCTGGCAAAGATTTCAAGGAATGCCAGGTCACTCGAGGGACGGTTAGAGATACGCAGTTTAACTCTGTCCAAGAAGGGTTGCACAGTTGGCGGAAGAGGCTCCAGCACAGGAGCACCATCGGTACCACACTCAATGGAAGGCAAGGGCACACCCAAGGATACAAGAGCACTGCGACAAGCCAGAGGCATCGACTCGTGTCTAGCAACCGAGAACCCGACTACCACTACGCGAGACCCCAAAAAAGGCATTGTGCAGTGTCTGTGTTTCCAAGCATCGAAAGTGAGATGACTGAGGGAGACCTCGTGCAGCTGTCCATGAAGTTGGGCACCTGAAGGATCGGTCACTGGATGAGGTCCCTCTCCCTCAAGCCAAAGTTGGCCACCTGAGAAGGAGTTGACCCCAATCAACAGATTGGGAAGGTGCGCGTTGTAGCTGTCGCGATGCAGGGCTGTCTGCGAGTCGACAAAGAGAGCAGCACTGGTGCACTCGAAGGAAGGACTGATGGTTCTGATGAAAGCAAAAAGCAGAGAAGACGAAAATGGAAAGGATTTTACATTAGATCGAAGGGCCGTGATACCACCTTTGGTGTACAGACCCGTGGTCCACGATTGACCGGCACTACCTAAATCCCGAGAAGGCTGAGGAGCATCAAAGGGAAGAGGGAAGAAGTGTGGAAAGATGCAAAACGTCCTTGCGCGAAGGAGCGGTGCCAGATGTCAATACACCCAGCGAAAATTCCTCGGCCGGATGTTTAACCTCGGCAGAAGCATCAACCTTGTCAGGCAGCAAAGGAAAAATGTCATCTAAGATGGGGATAGGGGAGCTTTCACAAGGAGCCGGTACCTGAGGTGCCTCGTCAGTGCAGGTCTCCCCGGACTCGCGCGAGAGTCAAGAAGCAGAAGCTGCAGGGCATTCGAACTGGGGGTGAGGCTTCTCGCAGCGCATGCACAAGTGAAGACCGAAGCGACAAGCTTTGCCAGCCTCAGCATGGCTGCACCCCCTGTCTTTGATGTTGTATGCCCAACAAAGTCGCTTGCCTTTCGAGGTCTTCTTCTTAAGGTTAGGAATGTTCTTGAGGGCATCAGGAAGCTGGGACTCTTTGCGAGGCTGGCCTTCAGAGTCCCTCTTGATACCTTTATCAAGGCCCTTACCATTGCCCTTATCCGGATTCGGGATCTTCTGTGGAGGATCAGGCGACCTCAAAGGAAGGAGGTTGAACAGGACAGCAGGGTCAGTGCGAAGACCCGGGAAGGCAGCATCAAGAGGCAACACGCCAGCACTATCCCTCTTAAGCGTCTTAACCGTCTCAGCCAACTGAACCCAAGCCTGACGATCAGCCCTCAACAATTGCTCCATGGAAACTTTGCTGCACCTCGGAGGGGGAGGCTGAGCCATGCGATCGAACAGAAAGCGGTGCCAAGATTCTTGCACCTGGAAGCTGATGGCACCCATAAGGTCACAGGCTAAGCTCCGACGTGTAAGAGCCTGCCAGAGCTGAAGTTCATTGGTGATCTGGCAACGATCACGACTCTGCTGATCACGAACAGTGAGCTTGGTGCCCCCATCGAGCACGATCTCACGCTTGGGCTTTTCTCTGCAAACCTCCTGTTGCCTGGTGATGAACCTATGGGGCTCCAAGTAAATTGGCGAGTCGGCTTCAAGCATGGAGCCCACAAGAGTGTAGCAGGAGTATGCGCACTCCATCGCGCCGGTTAACTCAAAACCGACAAGCCTGGTCTTTTGAGCGGCAATGCGGCTGGTGCGTTCAGCAGGCGGGAGGTCGTACTTCTTGTCTCCCTCATGCCCTTCGACTGAGAGCTTAACTGAGAGCTTAAGTTGCTGCACAACACAAGTCTGGCACTCAAACACACAGCGTCGAATGGATGATAAGGCACCAACTGAAACAGCTTCAGGAGTGGCAGTATCCAAAAGCTGACGAAGGGCAAGCTCCGTAGGCTGCACACCCGGGGTGGTGACAGCATAGGCCAATGACGACATCGTCGAGACACCTTTCCCTTTCAGGATCAGCAGCTGTGCACTTGAAAGGCCACATTCCGTGGCAAGTTCTTCAAATGCCGCCTCAGATTTCAGCAGGGACATGGCTGATACTACACGATCCTAGAGCCCAAGCTTCGTGAACGATGCGATGGCTCCGAAGAGGAAGTGGCGAAAAGCCACACAAATCAGCAGCAACTCTCGAGACTGCTCCCGAGTAATGGGTGACAAACCCATACTCCGAAGAGGAAGTGGCGGAAAGCCACGCACTTTAGAAGCAACTCCCGGAAGCAACTCCCGAGCTTCCGAAAGATGGGTGTCAAACCCATGCAGCGGGAAGCCGCTCATAAGAAGATCTCTTCAAGATTCAAGTGAAGTAATACTTCGCACAAGAAGAAGGGTGACAAACCCGACCATGAAGTCGCACCGGTCAGTGGAAGCGGCGGAAAGCCGCGCGCAACAGTCAGCATGCGGAGGCAGATGAGTGACAAACCCAGTCACGATTTCTTTTCTCAGCAGCCGACAAGGCGCGTCAGGTTTAGGCAGAGAGGTGCCCAACACATTGCCATTTTTCCTTCTGAAGGAAAGTTAGCACAGCACGTTAAAAGAATTTTCTTGACGCCGAAGGCCCAGCGCACTGAGATGTCAACGCTTGCCCAAGGCAGCATCAAGCGCACCGACAAGGGCGCCGGTGTTGCTAATCGGCTTTCTCTGAGCGCATTGCTTGCAATCCCAAGCGGTGATCTTGACCAAGGTCCTGAAGGGGCGATGGTCTTTGGTGAGAGGCCTGCCACAGACAAACTTATCATCGCTCGAGTTTTCAAGCATGCGATGCACAGTCTTTGTCCTGCAATGCTGGTAAAGCTTGCATCCCTCCACGACGTGATGCCTCAATCTGCATGCTAAGTCGCTTGCTGCCTGGACCTTTTCATCAGCACTTGTAGAGCTCGAAGAAGAGCTGGAACTCGAGCTCGATTCAGAGTCTGAACCACTGCCATCTCGGTCCCCCTCCGCATGGGGATCGTCAGAAGCCCCCGTTTCGGGCGGAGGGTCTGAGAGACCCCGGGGCTCAAGCTCACTGCCACGGCTCGCGTTGATGAAAGCATCGACGTCGGCATCCTCCAGCTCTTGGTTGCGGTACCACGCCAACTCCTCATCAGGGCCAACCTCGCTGCCCAAGCTCACAGGCTCTTGGACCTCACCTAAGGCGCCGAGGTAGAGGTCAGGGCTGAGGGCCCCATCAGAGAAACCAGGAAGAGCATCAAGGGCCGGCTCCACTCCTGGATCATCGACTTGACGGACAAAGCGGCCAGAGCGTGTGCAATCAGGAAGGAAAGCTCCAGACCGAACGTCACATAGAAGAGACCACAGCACTCTCAAAGGCCCAGCCTGAAGATCTCTGCTGTAAGTGGCTACGCTTTTGCTCTTAGGCATGTGATGCCCAAGAATGGCCCTGTCATCCTCAGAGCCGCCCCATTTGGCCAACCAAGGAAGTAAGGTAGACTTTGCTGTGTGGCCGGTGAAGTGACCTCCGAAGAAGGGGAGATCCTTAAGGATGCCATTGATCCACACCACAAAGGCTTCATTCTTGATTGGATGGTTGAGCAAGGAGCCCACAGACGTGGGCACACACAACAGCGCGGAACCATCGTCCTTCTGAAGAAGGTCTTGATCCACTTGCCGTGCAACCTCCAAGAAGTCAAGCCCCCAGATGCGAGGCCCCAGTCCTTTAACGTGAGCCACAAGAGGCAACCTGAAGCCGAGCGCATTGCTAAGAGACTTAGTCTTATGGCTATAAGAGTAACACTCCAAAAACCCTTCGGCGCAGTCTGCAGATGGCTCTGCAAGGTCAAGCGTGAACCTTGACACGGACTTCAAGTCGCCTAACCTCGCCCTGGAGAAAATCGCAAAGAGCATGCAACCAGCGGCAAACCGGTCCAAAAGAGCATTGGATTCGGATGCAAGGAAACCCTCGAGGTGAAGCACTTCTGCAACGAGAAACGAGCGAGCCTGCTTCCTGGGAGGCTTGTTCAATCTCTCGCGACGAGCACGTCCTGTCAGGACCGGGTCAGACCGGAGAGGCTCATTAATGAAAACACCAAGGACATAGATCGCAAAGTTGAAAGACTCAAGGTTGCTGGACACTGATCCATGCCCTTTGGTCTTCACTGCAAACTCGGTGTATTGCCGAACAAGATCCGAAGAAAGGGGGAAGCCTATGCATCCTGTGTCGTTGCACCAAGTGACGTACTTGGATAATTGCCCGTACCTTTTCTGGAGGGTAGACAGGGCTTTACCCCCAAGTGCATCCGAGACAAGTTGCGTTCCCTTCTCAAAAGACTCCTTGGCAAGTATCCCCCCTAGCCTAGAACCCGAATAAGAGTGCGAAAGCAACACATGGAACCTCTGGCAAAGCAGCTCACGTTTATCAAGAGGGCTGATCGGAGCCTTCACCACTCTGACCTTTTGAGAAACGGCTTTGAAGAAGCTGCAGGATCGAGGCTCCGGCTTTGCGAGCTTCTCCGCTTCACCCAGGCTCGAAGCTGAAGAAATGGGAATATCAAAAGGAAATTTCACTGACGGAATGCTTGGGGCAGCATGCTCCGGGCAGAATATCTCCTTAAGAATGCCTGACTCCCAGGGCAGCTCCAGATCACTGGAGCCAGCGACACTGTGTCTGGACTCAAGCAGCATACGATCTATGCTCTTAAGAAGGTTAGAGCGAGCCCCTGGGCCTGATGATGAAGCTGAAGTCGAGGAGCCCCCAGCAGAAAGAGACTGAGGCTGCATGTTGCAAAGTTTTCTGCAAAAGATGCCTTCCTAGGCCAGCCTACGGCAGCAAAGCCTGAGCAGGCGCAAGAAGTTTTCCAACAAGCTGACCCGTGCCTGAGTTTGTTGTGCCTGAGTTTCCAGGAGCTCCAAACGATCTTCAAGCACTCGCACCCTACTCTCCACAATGTTGCATTCAAGCTGAAGAGAGTGGAGATGTGAGCTTATTGCTTCCCAGGCGGAGCCAGAGGAACTGCTGGCACTGGAGGGCTCAGAGAGAGGCAAGTAAAGAGGCCTCGTTCCCATCTGGCGCCCCTTCGGGGGGCACCGTGCACGAAGCTAAAGCCTTGAAGTTAGCAGCTCGAACCTCGCTAGAAAGAAGCGACGGGACTCTAGAGGCCTCACTCGAAAAGCGAACTGAAGCCGAAAAGGCAACTGGAAAACAGAGCTTGGCAAAAGTTCAGCATGAAAAAGGATGGAAAACAACCAAGGTTGGAAAAACCAAGTTGTTGAAAAAAAAGACTTGAGAATCAAAATCCGTCCTCCTTCGGAGGAAGTTCTTCATACCCCGACTGCGTGGAGTTCACCGAGGAAACAGACTTACGTTGCAACACAGAGTTGGGCCACTCAGCATTCTGAAGCAATTGCAAAAGTGAAGAAAATTTTCTTGTATCCACACTAGCACTCTGCTGACACGGATCAAGATGCACTAAAGGAGAATCTGTCGGCGCAGGGGAGGCCTGCGGCGATGCAAAACTGTGCCCAGCCAAGCCTGGGCAGTCCCGACTCTGAGTCGAGTGCTGCGAGCTGCAGGGCTCGCGTTCCGACTGTCACTCCTGCTTTTGGCCTAGAGCCTCAGCACGCAGCGGACAGTCCAATGCAGGGTGCGACTTGCCGCACTTGGGCCATGCGCAAATGTGCAGGCCACGCACGCATCGACCACGAGTCACGGTTTCTCTGCATGTTTTGAGTCCATACCCAAAACATATGTTTTCACCAGCATTGGTGCATGATCTGCAGCCCGCCAGAGCGGCGGGAACCTTCCCGGATCCTTTGGTGCCCTTGGCACCCTTCCCTGTGCCCTTTCGGCCTTTGCCCGGACGATCATACGGGCCCGGCCCGTGCGGCCTCGGCGGCGGTGCCACCTGCTGCGTGACTGAAGCGCCTGCTGCCCGAGGCATCGGTTGAAGCAGATGAAGCACCTCTGGTGACTGCCATGTGTCCTCGAAGATGGTGTCCAATGGACGCCCCCCAGCTTTGAGCTGGATGCCTGAGCGAGTCGCTTCTCCGAGAAGCTGCCAAAGCTTCCTGTCAGCCTGCTGACACTGATCAAGCGTGGGCTGCATGTGCGTCGACGGAGGTGCGTCGAGGCGCGCCGCAAGAAGGCGCTCAACCCACATGTGGTGGCGATGGTAGTCAAGGATGTTCGCCATTTCCATAGCGATGCCGCGCCTTTGAAGCGCGAGCTGCAAGAGCAGCTCCGTGCTAGTATCAGCACGGACCTCAACCTTCGTCTCCGACCTGAGCTTGCCCGTACTGTCCAGCGAGAAGAAAGGCTCTCGCTTTGCCCCTGTTGAGGCCTCTTGCTCTTTGGAAACAAGCTTCTCCCACGGGACAAACTGCAGCTTGTCCTGTTCATACTGGGATACGAAGGAGTCGACGAGGCTATCAGCAGGCTCAAGACGGTTCTTGATCGAAAGGCCCACAAGGCGTTTGCTCACTACCTCGAATCTCTCAGATCTCTCCGGGACGCTCAATTTTCTTGGGATGGATTCATCCGTCCGCTCCACAAGCATCTTCATTTCCGAAGTGGTAACAGCATATGCTTCATGAAATAACCTTCGGAAGGAGCTTTTCTGCCCTACAGAGGGCGGCGTCCCGAGGGCCGACTCGAACGCCGCAATGAGGTCCTTGTCATCGCCAGAGCCCGGCGTGTAGCTCGTCATGAAAGCGACCTTTGCGAGTGAATCCACACCCACCTTCTCGAGTTTTTCGACATCCGCAGATGCCAAACCGACCTGGGCACATCGTGATTTGAACACTGGCCCCGACTCGGAGAAGGCCGCCACGGTGTGCTGCTTGGACCACTACGAGCTGAAAGCAGCTGCAGGAGGGCTTTGCTCTTCATAAAATCACGCATCTTGCAGGACACGACATCCGCCAGATCTCTGCTCTTGCACGATACCACAAATGACAACACTTGACCAGCTTGCGGAGCGCACGTGCACGACATCACCATTTTGCACAAAATTGCAGGCACGAGCCGGGTGCAGAGTCATGTGCCCTGCTGCACAATCAAGTATCTCCTGAAGCACTGCTTGCACCTTGGATGCAAAACTGCGGGTCGCGCCTCCAGCTTCCTGTACTGACCCGAAATGGTCCTACCGCAGCCCAGGTTGGCACCCGCTTCGTCGGCAGTGATGTGCACTACCCTGGATTGGCGATGCCGAAAGAAAACACACGAGGGATCAATCTTGTCAAGGTCGACCTTCCCATGCCAGTCCAAAGCCTCGGCAACACAAGCTTCGTCCCCTGAGTGGTCGATCTCCTCCTCGTCCTCGGAGCCCTCAGAGTCTGACGACTCGATCTCGTCGCCAGGCGGATCGGCATGCGCCGACAGCTCGGAAGCAAGCTGCTGCCCCCTTGGTTTGTCGGGCTTGAAGGCCCCGGACGACACCTCGTCGATCATAGATGACAAAGCCCTGAGCGGAGCCGACTGGGCGTCGGACTCATAGATCAGCTCTGATCCCGCACCCGAGGCTCGGGACGTATGATACCCCAAGAGGGCCCTCTGTTCTCTGGGCAGACCACGCTTGCTTGCCCAGCTCAGCAAAGTTCTCTTAAGGCTATGTGTACCAACATTTGCAAGGTAGGGATCGCTCTGAGCGTTCCCCAGCAGGCTCCTGAGCCACGAGCAAGCCTGATCGCACGGAAGCGGGATCATCTTCCACGAACCATTCGAAGAAGGGCAGGGGAGCAACGGGTCGTTCGGCTTGATCGCAAGACCCGCCTCCGCCAAAGCCTCAAGCCACGCATCGGCCCATGCACACTTGATGCCCACTTTCCTGGCAGCCATTGGCAAGTACCTGGTCTTGCGTTCCAAAGTGAAACTCGTCTTGGACCTGCCCACACTGCACTCCAAGTAGAGCGGCGAATCAGTCAGCGATGCTACATTTTGCCCGTCACTGTATCTAGCTCTTGCATAAATCAGGAAAAGAAAGAAACCCGAAGCGACCCGGTCCTGCAGCGACCTGTCCTCAAGTTTGCAACAAATCCTTTCAAGAAGAATGACATCAGAGACCCTCAGAGGATTGCGCTGCTTGAGCTTCCTCTTTTGCATGTACAGCTTCGATGCAAGGCCGCGGATGCGACCCGAGGCGTAAACCTTATCACACCCTTCCAAGCCTACAACATGCTGTGCGAACGCCACAGATGAAAGAAGGCTCCTGAACGAGGTCGCCGCTGCAGTTGCCTTCTTCTCCTCGAAGTATGCATAGACAGCGTGCTCTGTCAAGGGGAAAACGAACGGCATGTTTCCTTTCGCCCAAGAAACAAAACGCAACAAGCAGTTTGCCCTGGCGTTAATCGTCGAAGTGGCCTTGGCAGCAAGGCAATCTGAAATGCTATCCGCAAGCGACCCCGAAGAGATCCCCGACGCCTTACCGGCATAGAAGTTCCTAGCTACGCAGAAGGTCAAGGGCTCGACCATGACCAGGCTGAGCCACTTGTTCACAGCCAGATTTCTCTCCTCATTGATCATAACCTCCCAAGAAGTATGTTTGAACTTGGCCATTTTTGCACACACTTGTTCAAGCCCTTCCGACCTGACGAAGCGAGGGTTCGGCACGGCAGGTTGATCGGCAGAAGGGTTCACTGGGACTACAAGGGGGAGAGGTCCAAGAGGAGGCGGCAACCGGGGCCTAGGGTCGTGGGCTAACAGCGTATTACCCCAGGGAGTCTTCCACACTGACTTGGAGTCTCGCAGGCAGGATCTGAGGTGAAGGCCAAAACTGGAAGAAAGGGAGCCTCCTTCGTCCCCCATTTCACTACGGCTCCCTCAAGCAGACTGCAAAGGCGGCTCGAGAAACGACCTGAAGGCAGAGCGCAGGCTCTGAATGATACCCTCAAGCCACGACAGGCGCTGATGATGGCCCGTCTGGTTCACCCAGACGCGAGAGAGGCTATCTTCTAGTGCTTGCACCTGGGACCTGAGAGCTTGCACCTGAAGCCTGAGCTCGTTAACCTCTAGCTGGAGTTCGTAGATATGCTGACTCAAAATCTCCTGCGTGCTCTCAGAGCTTGGCTCGGAACGATGGGACGAACCTGCGGCAAGCGCGTCGCCGAAGTCCATCTGACACCCCGCACCAGGGCGGGGAGTCGTGACGCCCTAAAGTCCCTAAAGCCTTGAGATAAAGGGCCTGGAACCTGCTAGGACGCCGTTGCAAGCCCCTAGCGGAGTCCCATCAAAAATTCTCTGGCTCGATGACGAGACAGCTTCAGCGGCCACAATTCCGAACATGAACAAAAGGATGTTTGCCGACAAAGTCAAAAATTCGTCGGTTGCTCAGAGAGTGGGTTCGCAAATCACAATATAAAATTGTGAAAACTTGAACTGCAAAGCACTACTACGAGTAGCGCAGAGGATCACAATTGAAAGTTGTGAAAGCTGAAATGAAAAGCACTACTAAGAGTAGCGCGCGGGATTGTCATGGCCCAAAATTTTGTTGCTAACAAAATTTCGTTTGACCTAGGATCTATAAAACATCGACACGCACGCGTGAAGAGATGCAGAGCCAGGTGAGCCCATGTCGTGCATGAGGGGTTTTGGAGTTAAGCACCGTGCACAAATTCCGAACCGTCAGCCACACCTCTCGATACCATAACTCTACACAGCTCAAGAAGTCCTGTTCAGATCTGGTGGAGATACCTTCCAGAAAATTCCGCCGCTCTTGTATGATCTGTTCCGGCCCACCTTCTCGATACCATAACTCTGCATGGCTTGATCTGCTCTGTTCAGAAATGCTAGAGTCACCTCTGGCAAAAATTCTCTGTCTTTGTACGATCTCAAAGCTGCACAGTTATGGGGCTGTCGGGCGACCCCATTTTAAGGCCCGCAAAACACAAGCAATTCTGGCTTCGCGAGGTCGGCCCTCCACAGTTGCATTCCGCTGGCTGCAGCACGACGCTCCCCAAAGTCAATACAATCAATGACATGCGCAGCTGACGAGATTCAGCCGCTGTGGGTGCAGGAATCAAACTTGCGACCCCAAAAATGGGGCCGTCTCGCGGCCCCAGAAAAGGAGCCGCGAAATCCAGTCAACCTCCTTCAACATATTTTGACTGGCAACCAGAGGACCCCAAAATCGGGGCCGCTTGGCGGCCCCTATTTTGGGGTCGCGAATTCCTCATTTTGGGGCCCAAGCCCAAGCCCGTGCGTTCCACACTGCTACATCAAGGCGACTCGCCCACAGGCAGGCATCCAGTGTGGAAAAATCGTTCTCCAACAAGAATTTCCAACAGACAGCTTGCCCGTGGAAGTGACAGACATGAGAGAACAGAGGGGGGCCACTCAAGCGAAGCCAAAATTGCTAAGCTTGTTCGACCCCACATTTGGAGCCGCGTGTGCTGCAGTTGGTTCGCACCGAAAGTGGACGTCGGCGGCACTGGTGGCCGAACACGTGCCAGACACAGCAGCTAGAACACTTCCACCTTTAAGTTGCAGGCGGACTCATGGGACCAAACAGGATCTGGTCGATGCTTTCTCAGGCACAGGTACCTTCTGGGAGAACTCTCAACTCGAACCTTTCACAGGCGAGGCCGTGGCGTTTTACAGCTTTCAGAAGTCCACTAACAAGAAAAACAGAGTGCGCAGCACTCGATCTTTTTCTTGAGCTAAAAACATTCGAAGCAAAACGAAACGAGACAAAACGAGTGCGGTCACTAACCTGATTCAAAAGCAGAGGCAAATCGAAAAACCTGTGTTGCGGGAGCAGCAGCGGCACGGGTCTGTGTTGCGCAGACATGTCGATTTGCTGAGCAACAAAGTCGGTTGGAGCGCCGGCTGCGAGCGATCTTTTTTTTGTCGGTTTGTGACAGCGGATGCAACCATCCTGCGCAAAGACACACGCAACCATGAAGCAAAAAAGACCCGATTTGACGATGGAACTGACTCAGAGAGCAAAAAGAAATTGAAGCAGAGGTGCAATCTCCGAGAACAGCGAAAAGTGCAGTTTGGTTTTTTGAGGGAACGCAACCACTGGTCTAGCAACAGCAAATGCAATCAGAAGCAAGGCAGAGGCAAAGAATGTTGCAAATGGGTCTCTGCTAAAAGAGCAAAAAAAATCTGGCGAGAGCCAGGTGAGCCCATGTCGTGCATGAGGGGTTTTGGAGTTAAGCACCGTGCACAAATTCCGAACCGTCAGCCACACCTCTCGATACCATAACTCTACACAGCTCAAGAAGTCCTGTTCAGATCTGGTGGAGATACCTTCCAGAAAATTCCGCCGCTCTTGTATGATCTGTTCCGGCCCACCTTCTCGATACCATAACTCTGCATGGCTTGATCTGCTCTGTTCAGAAATGCTAGAGTCACCTCTGGCAAAAATTCTCTGTCTTTGTACGATCTCAAAGCTGCACAGTTATGGGGCTGTCGGGCGACCCCATTTTAAGGCCCGCAAAACACAAGCAATTCTGGCTTCGCGAGGTCGGCCCTCCACAGTTGCATTCCGCTGGCTGCAGCACGACGCTCCCCAAAGTCAATACAATCAATGACATGCGCAGCTGACGAGATTCAGCCGCTGTGGGTGCAGGAATCAAACTTGCGACCCCAAAAATGGGGCCGTCTCGCGGCCCCAGAAAAGGAGCCGCGAAATCCAGTCAACCTCCTTCAACATATTTTGACTGGCAACCAGAGGACCCCTTATTTTCCCTTTGTGCAAAACACCGGGCGTGAGAAATTAAACGAATTGATATGTGAAACACAGACTCCAATATCTTTCGGAATATAAAAAGAATCGTCAATCAAATATACATTCATATGCAGTCGAAGACGCGCCACTCTCTTTTTTTTCACAGACTGGGGAGACGAGTGCCCACGTTGGCCGGGCTTAGGGCCCAGGGCAACGGTTCGGTAAATTAAAGGAAGCTACGGCACGTTCCAGCGAGAGCACTTTCTCTGTGAGACCACGTTGGAGCACCTCTCCGAACGATGGGACTTGGGCGGGCGGGACGAAAAATTCTACAAAACTTTGGGGGTCCCACCCACCTCTCCCTTGAGCAGAAATGTTTCGTGAGAAACACTCTTAACATAGCTCACATGAGACTGTCACACACATGCCCTAATTTATTTCGAAAGCGAAATAAATTTGTTTTGCAGGGAAAATAAAAACTCATCCGTGCACGCGCGGAGATAGTTCTTATTTTCCCTTTGTGCAAAACACCGGGCGTGAGAAATTAAACGAATTGATATGTGAAACACAGACTCCAATATCTTTCGGAATATAAAAAGAATCGTCAATCAAATATACATTCATATGCAGTCGAAGACGCGCCACTCTCTTTTTTTTCACAGACTGGGGAGACGAGTGCCCACGTTGGCCGCCCCTGAAAAACGTGGCTATGTACTGAGGGCGCACTTAAGGGTCTCCGTCAGAACGTCTGCCGAACATTCGGCACGGAGATCCTGGCCCATTGAGTACACACCTCGAGAAGGCGCATCAGCTGGGTTGCTGTGCGACGGCACACGGTCGTAGTAAAAGAAGGCCTGTAAGTCAAACTCACGCTTGGCTGCCAGGAAAGCCATCGCACTGCCTACTGGGTTTTCTGACCAGCACTTCACGAACGCGCCGTGCACACCTGAGTTGTCCGTGTACACTACAACGTTCCTCTGAGACAGATGACATTTAAAAAGCTCAAGAGCCACTACCACTGCAAGAGCTTCTAGCTCAAAGATCACTGTCTCTCTGTCGCGCCCGAAGCAACTCAGCAGAACCTTAATCAAGTCACTAGGGACGGTCGCCCCAAACCAACTTAAGATTCTCCCGTCGGCATCGTAGCAGACGCCTCCAAGCCCACTGTGCCCGGACGGCTCGAAGGAAGCGTCTACAAAAACAAGGCGGTTATCACCTAAGTCCCTAGAAACGACTCTGGAGCAACCACTCTGCAAAAGCTCTACAAGGTGAGTGGCACCCCACCTGAAGCGCTCGGACACACAGAAGCTCTTCGAAGGCTTGTCCGACAAACAGTGAAGCGCCTGCCGCGCCAGTCTGCCGAACAACTGGCCACTTGCGAACTGGGCTCGCCCTCGAATCTTTTCAAGCGTCGTCGCGTCAATGCTGCCCCGAGCGAGAACCTCTTCAAGAGAAGCAATGATTTCGTTTCGGCGTTTCAGGGTATTCTTCAACAAGGCGTAACCCCGAATGGCGTTTCCCACATCAAGCTCAATCCCTAACACCTTACAGCAAGTGGAATAGGGGAGAAGCTTATCGGTGGAAACCTTCCACCCAAGGAGCCTAAAATACACACTGATTACCAGCTCGACGTGCTTTGCTTCGCTGCTGCGGGCGATGCTAAGGTAGTCGTCGAAATAGACGGACCAAACTAGGAACAGCAACTTGACTGCTACCGTCCAGACGGCCACTGCGCATCTGATGAACGCCGTAACTGAAGCTCGCGATCCGAAAGGGAGAGCCCGCTGCTTGAACACAGCGGGCTTCTGGCTCCTTGGGTCGTAGATCACGAAGTAGGCATCTCGAGCAAATGCGGTGTCACTGAGAGGCAGTTGTTTATACGCAG